TATATATATATATATATATATATGTGTGTGTGTGTGTGTGTGTGTGTGTGTGTGTGTGTGTGTGTGTGTGTGTGTGTGTGTGTGTGAATTCGTATGAATATGTATAAATATGTATGAATATATATGAATGTATATATGTGCGTGTATGTATACATAATGTATGTACATATGTATGTATGATGTATGTGTATGTATGTACGTAAACTTATATATCAGTTACGAGAGGAACGATCGTAAACTCTACGATAGAGTTAATCTGCAATGACCCGAAGCGACGGACTAATGAAGCAGAAAGCAGCGAGAATTGGCAAACGACGCCAGAGCTAGTGAAAATCTTTGAAGTATAGATTTTTGTGTGTCCTCTTTAAAATTACGCCGTCTACGTGCGTTCATGCGTGACAAAAACTAATAACTTAGAAAATAGCAATGTTAATCTGTACATATAAATCTTGAGATTTTTTCAATGCTGCAATTATGAATAATAAAATGCACACTTTTTAAATATTTCTCGTACATCTTGTTTCATTATTATAAATCAATTTTTTTAATTCTAATTTCTAAAAAATTCACTTCTACCTTTCAACAGCAGAGGATAAACATTTTAAAACTTCCAAAGCTCCACACATCTTCACAAATTCACCAATTCCACCAACTGGTTGCAAAAGTTGCAAAATATCACACAAACATTTACACATCTATATTTTTCCTTTGCGAGTATTATTTTGCGAGTTTCTGGCACTCCTCTGGGCACATTTACATGTATCGAATATATAGTTACAAGCACTAGAATGCATACGTAAGTTCAGGATAAAGAAAGATACACGAGAGGTTTGTCCATTCTATCGACCCGACTTGCGACGCGCGCATGGCTTTCCTTCGAAATACAACAGAAGGCGAATCATGGCGGCGGGTTCCGAGACAACCTCGAAATTCGGCGTCTGATATTTCGTAAGATTTACCAGAATTCGCACAAATGGAAATATAGTGCAAATCGATATTATATTGTTTCAATAGAACGAAACGCTTTATTTCAGACGTCACACACATTTTAAAAACATTTTTATGATTCCTTACTAACAAAAAACGAAATTATAGACGACGAAAGAACGATAAATGAAAAATTCTTACGTTTTCAAGGCTCTTCTCGATTTCGACCAACTGCGTTTCCTCCTGATTGCCATTTACGATACGTTCGTTATCAGCCGTATTGCGTCTGCTATTTTTTCAACGAATAATTTTATCGTTTTCCAATATTTGAAATCGATTTTTCTTATGGTGCATAAATTCAGCGTCGTTTTTCGTGCACGATAGGCAGGGGCGGCGTATAATTTCGTTCATAGGGAAGAAGAAAGAGGGAGATCGGGGCAGGGAGAGAGAGGAAGAGAAAGAAGGTGAAGGGGATAGAGAGAGGGGAATGAGACGGAATGGGAAAGAGAGAGAGTGAGGGAGAAGGAGAGAGAGAGAGAGAGAGACTTTACAAGAATCCCGGTAATACGAACTGCAGCTCCGACATCTTGTAGAATTATAGCAACGCTGCGTGCGATACAGCATAAAATCTCACTGCAGGCATTTGCTTCTAGAGCGACTAATTATGTCACAGAATCATATATTTTATATTCAGTCTGGTGCGCTTAATTTGCGTGTGATATAAGTCCAATTAACTTCACTCTCCTCAGCGCGGCAACATTTTGTCTAAGGAGAATACGAGAATGTGACTGGATTCTGGGCTGAAAATATTGCTGCATGTAACCACCGTACATCCACTGCCAACCACGGCAAATAAATTCCGCGTCGCTCGCCGCTCGGCGCCCGCGCTCTTTTGCACGCTTTCCCTGGACTCCACGCACGCACGCGTGAAATACCACTGGATTTGCACGAAACTTCCTGTGCGATGGGAATTAAATGAGCAGCAAGAAATATGTATCTCGCCGCGGCATCGCGGAAATTTAACTCTTCAAATATGAAGATTAAATAAGAAACCTCGAGGTCACTTAAACGGAATTAAACAGAAATGCACACACAAGTCCCTAGGTTGTTTTTCCATTCTTTTTCATTGTGCTCGGCTTAATTTTCAAATTGCTAAAGAGCAGATCGTATCATAGATGTTTCCCATGACAACATATCGATTAGATATCATTCGACTTGCAGGAAACCAAATTGACGTATAAATTGAAACAAATTACGTAATTTTTTTTACTATAACCGCTACGCCAGTTATAGCTTACGTTTCGTAAACATGAAAACATGTTTATGAAATATTTGTAAAAACATGTGTATGAAATATTTATAAAATAGTACGCTGAAAAGAAATACGCAACGTGTACCACACAGCGGTGTCCGTAAACCTACGAGTTCTTAAATTTTTCACTTCTCTGCGGAGGCCAGTCGTACGCACGTACGGCAGAAATGTGAGACCAAAGGGTGGATCAGTCAAGAATAAAAAAAAAAGAAGTTCGAAGGGAAATGAAATAGAATGGAAAAAGTGACCAGGACGCACACTGTCACAGCATATATATATATATATATATATATATATATATATATATATATAGCTTCACATATATTTTCTCGCACCTCGTCTGTTATGCAAGTTCTGCCCGGCCGGTTTTATGATGGCTATCATTAGAGGTCAACGGTCCACGAAATTGCGAGGTTCCTCGATCCTGTCAGTCTCTCTCTCCCTCCCCTTCCACTCTCCTCTCTCTCTCTCTCTCTAGTGGTTTCCGGAGTCGAACGTACACCTTCCAAGTTAGAATTCCTATTGGACGTCGAGCTATTTCCAATCGATCCCTCAATGATGCAACTTGAATTTTAGAATTATTTTGTATAAAAACTCTCAGGCTCAAATTGTTGATCTACGCGAAATATTTAACGAATTCCTGGAAATCATGGGGCAAATCCTCTTGGGGACGAAAAGAGGTTGAAATAACTCACGGTTGCATTAAATACACTTGTTTCGAGTTTGCGATATTTCGGAAACAGACATATATGCGTGTGAATCGTGCGCGACGTAAAACGAGCAATTCTGCAAACTTCATCGGCACTAATTAACATTGTTCTCGACTTGTAAAATTTTACCGTTCTGCAGCTTGCATGCCAGATCATAACCGAAGGGCAACGAACTTCAAAACTGCGCTTCTCTTCGATCGCGCCCTGGCGACGTTCTATGGATCCCGTGGATACTGTGCGCGAAGTGATGCGATTGTCCAATCCGAACGTGGACGTTGGACCAGACCACGGTTCTCTTCCTTCGGCGAGTGTATTAGATTGGCTTCGAGATACGTGACCTCGCTCGAGAATCAACTCGTTCCCAACCTTCTCCACCCACCCTTCGGCCTTCTATCTTCCCCCCTTGTTCCCCTTCGCTCCCTCCAGCAACCGTGCCAACCGATCCTAGCCAACCACCGTTGCAACCTAACTCAACCTTCCCGGAATAGGTCCAATCCTCCCTCTCCTCTCTCTCTCTCCCGGTTTCCTTTTCATCTTCCTTCGTCTCTCGCCATGTCTCCCTCCCTGCAGTTGGTGCACTCGCATTTTTTACACGTTTCAGCAAACACTGTTTGTAATGATCGTTCACCGCCGAGTGAGACCCCAACGCATGGGCTTCAATTAATTCTCAGTAAAGTAATTGGCTTTCGCATCATTAGAACATGGCTTAATTATTGTTAAATGTTCATCGAACGATAAATATACTGTGTAATAAGAAGAAGAAGACTTTAATTTGAAGAAATTGGAGGATGTCATGCCGCGTAAGTTCTTCGAATTCGAATTTGTTCACACGCGCGCAAATTTAGCACCATTTAATGAATATACTATGTGCTTGAAATGTAATATACAAATAATGTAACTCCATTCATAATTATTAAAGACACAATATTCACGCATTGTTATCTCTAAATTCGTGATCAACATTTTCTTACTAATTTCCGAGAATTTGCTAATGGAGCAACATTTTATGCGACAAATTTCTTCGACATTATTTCATAAGCACTTCTTGTGAGGTTGTTACGGGCCGAGCGTATAACGTGTGATATTCACAGCGACGGCAGACACAGTTTTCACACATCAGCTTAAATGACTAGAATTTCGAAGTAGTAATGAAACTTCGTATCTCGATGCACCATCATCATACTACAATATATATATATATATAATATATACAGAAAAGTATATGCAACCGCAAACAGTACATACCGGCTAGAGAAGCAAACTCGTTTCCAATGTGTTCACCTCCACCGAAGCCAAAGAGCAATTCCTATTCCAACGACTCTCCGTAAAAACGTCTCATATCGTGCGACATTGTTAAATATATTACGCCATTGCCTTCTCCCGGACACCACTGTGTAATACATATGTACACGTAGACAGGGTGAACCGTTTCGATACGAGATCACGTATCTACAGGATTTTACAATCCGCGCGTTGATCAGAGTCTAGACAGCAGTCTGGCCGTAATCCGAGGGTCTCTTTAGTTTCTTGTCAGATTATAACATATGTATTATAATATATGCTACAATGTGTGCATGTCATATGTGAGTGTCAGCGCGTTGAATAATTCAAAAGATATTCACATTGTTTGTTATACTAATAAGATAATTTCTAGAGCAGTTTCCGACATATAATATATATATATTAGTCTAATTGCTAGAGTGATTATTTAATTTTCGCTGAACAGAGCACTGAACATAAAATCTTACTTGGCAAGTGTTAGCCATTAAGTTATATCAGTCGTAATGTCCTACTGTAAAATATGGTTACTTTAAATCAATACTACCAATATCCTTTAGCAGAAAGATAAGTCAAATGCACAAGTCTCATAAGGAGAAATTCCCCAGCTATCGCCTCGGTATCTTTTTTCTTTTACCACCTATCCTATCTGACTTCTTATTTTCTGTTCTCCCCGTCTCTTGCTCTTGCCTGCTGAAATTCCTACATTTTCACAACCTCCAAGTTTTCATGTCTCCGGAATATCCCTTCACTCCAAGTTTCCTCGGCTTGTTCTTGCGACTTCAGTCTAATGAGACTTCAACGTCGCCATCGAGATAGACACATGGATATATATCCATACCTAAATCCCTAGGTACATGGTTTCGTATATAAATACGAGCGCACACTTGTGCAGGGAAATACGCGCACTAACATCAACGCGACTGCCAACGTTTCTCTGGAAACTCCACGACGACATTCCTGCCGATCTCCTTACTTTGTTCGTCCGACGAACGTCGCTTTTACGTAGCCAATCTTCACGTCAACAATGTAATACGCTTTACGTCTCGGCGGAGACAAATAAAATTTCGCGAGCAGGACCTGTTCTTGATGAGAAAAGTTAAGAGGCGCTTATTCTTCAAATTTGTCTCTCTCTCTCGTTCGATGAATGCAATGCGATTCTAAGATAATGGCGGTAATAAATTTCTAGGCAATCGTATAAAAAATGCTTGATATTACGGAACATAATAATTCCCGTAATAATCAAAGATATCCGGTGTTTTTCAATATCGTATCCGCTTCTGATTACATCTGGTTAAAAATTAAATATCTGGATCTGGATACGCATGTTTCTCAATCATTTGCCCCGATTCGCGAAGATAGGAAAAATATGACATGTGTAAGTCATAAAATGTAAAAGAAAATTATCGCGCTTTGCTGAGCGATATCAAAACAATATCAAGAGCTAAATAATTAATATTCGTCGAGAAAAGATCAATTTCATCAGAGTGATAAAGGCGGTAACATTCCCGACTCATTAGGTCGGCTTACAACAATAACTTCACTATAAGTTGGGATGTTCTTAAACATAATAGGGAGAGTAAAGATGAGAATGGTGGTAACCGCGACTGGACAAAGCGTCCGCGTGGAAACATAAAACCAGACATTGCGACTACCAGCATGGTCATCTGCATAAAGAATCCTCTTTACGATATCGTCGCGCGGATTTCGAGGTGTGTCACGGGTTATACGACAACCTAGCTGGCTAATTGAGAAGTCCCGACTGCAACTTCGATCCGCGACAAGTTCAATTTACGTATGAATATCCTCGAAAGACTTCTACAGAACAAACCCGGTAAGATTGCGACATGTTATTTGCCAAGCCAGTCTCCTGTAGACAGCGTTGTTGTCAGTCCACGATAAAAACTACACTAAATAATCCCCAAAGTAGAACGTATGATACTGTATGTCGTGCTGGACGGTGTTTCGTTGTATTTCAATTGATATGAGATTGCAAGACGATATCTTGGTGTTTAAATTCTTTCCCGACAGTTGAGAATGTTGTACGTTATGTTGCAAGCGGATTTTACGGCTTGCAGGAAACCGAAATACGTGAACCTATGAAAAATATATGATAGATCCTTGATAGAAACTTTAAAGCGCTTTGATTTATTTCAAACGTAAAAGTTTGTTGCATATAAACATTGAGTTTACCATTCCGAAAATGGTAAGTCGACTTTGCTGCATTGATTAAATCTTGTAATTATTTAATCTTATTATTATTTCAGAGCCAAAAACGAGGAGGAAAATTTAAGTGCATCTGTGACGCAGCAGACATAACAAAATTAAAAAATAATTTCGGAATCCCTGCAACATATAAACCCAAGTGTTTCGCCGTTGTTACGTTAATTCGATACAACAAAGGAACTACAAAGTTTTGGCAAGTTATCATAGTATCTAGCAATATTATAAAAGTGCAATAACGCAAAACGCGTCTAACAAATCTAATACATGAAAAAATATGTTTCCTTTTCATTAACCTAGTTCTTTCTCTACGACGAGAACGTAACCCGTAGCCGCGCGAGTTACCGGAATTTAAAGGCTCACTTTTTTATAGGGTGCCCTCGGCAAAAACTCTGTCGAAAATAGCGTTGGACTATATAATGCAAAGGGAAGGAAAAGAAAAGAAGATCCGTTTCCCCAAGGACTTCGTTAAGAAAACACACGAATACCAAGAGCTCGGAAAGGGGACCGGCGAATGTGCCGATGAGAAACGAAGGGTAGGATTTCAAATCTGTACCCTTGCACGAGCAAAAGCAATTGGTCCTAGACGAGACGAGAGGAGAGCAGTGGGGATTGGCCACGCACGTAAATGGGTAAGTAAATAGGAGTTTGCTCAATCTTCCTCCGGTGCGAGAATGTACGGCAAATAAGATTGGGACGGCTTAGAGAGGTGTGTACTCATCGATGTAAATAAAGGGGTGAGAAACTCGGAAATATCCGCATGTGCTGCCATTACAGTAGATTGGATTTCTTTCCCGTGAACGTTGTAAGTTTCCTATGACTCATCTTGGTATCGGCTTTAACACATTGCGGAGCAGTCCCTCCTTCCATCGGCAGCTTTACTCAGCATCCAGGTATTTTTGTGTACGATATGCCCAGAACACGTTACTTCTCGTGTACATTCGAGGAATACGTAATTTTAACGTCTAGCACTTCACTCTTGCGTATATTTCAAGATATATATTGTTATGTAGTAATAAAAGTCTTCAATTGTCGAACGATTATAACTGTTTTCGCAAGGTGTTCTCGCAACAAGAAGTGCGAGAAATCTCATGTCCGCTTCAAGTGTTAGAAGATAAAATTTTTCGTGATTCATCTGCGACAAATGCTAATATATCATCTCCAAAAAAAGTAATGAAAGCTAACTTGTGCAAAACACTAACAAGAATAAAAGGAAAACAAGAAACAGGTGAAACGCAAAACTATACGTCGATTTACGTATCTGCGTGAAACTTTGGAAATATTAGACTGGCGGGTCTTATTCAACATATAATTTCTTTATCACGTAGGTATAGTTGTAACGGCTACAATGTTACAGCCAACCGTGCGGTCGCAACGGAGTGTGAGCAAATTTCATAGCATGGGCGAGAACCACAGCCGCAATAAAAGACGAGCGCATGCACGAACGTGGTCGTATACTGGAAGACCAATGGCGACGCGTACGAACGCGCGACAGTGAGTCGAAAAGAGGTAAGCTGTGTGGGTGCGTGTGTATGTGGAAGATGTGCACACGACATAGAGCAGATAAACGTGTGGACGACATGTGAAAACGTTGCAGCGACTGCACCAGCTACTGCGGCAACGCTGCGGTTCAGTTTATTCATGCCCGGCAAAATATTTCATGCAAGTCTGTGAGGAAGTTTTCGTTGGATTATGCACGGCGGGACATCGTACCGGCTAAAATTGTCCAACTATCAAAAGTCAGCCGGGCCGCTGCGCGGCCCGACGGCCGCGTGGTGTTCGTATTACCGAACAAAGTGGTAATTTATAATTTCGGCTACGTCAGGTTTGCATTTCGATTGTCTTAACTCTGTGCGGCGGTGTTATTTCTCCCGGTCACGACACCGCTCGCATGTTAGATCTTATCAGAGACATGCAATTCTGTTTTAAAGCATTATCCTGTAATTTATTATACTGATTTCGTCCTCAAAGAGAGAAGAATAAATAATCAGCTAAAGTACCCTAACCTAGCACAGCGAAGCATAAATATTTTTCAGGGTTGCATACACTGACGCGCTGCAATAACGTACATCCAAGCAGCAATTATTAAAAGATGAAATATTTATATGTATTTCTTAGAAATTTAATTAAAATTATGTTATTAATGGTATAATACAGAACAAAATTTAAAGTCAGAGATCACATATTGTGACCTCGAATGTGCAATAATATATCAAAAAGTATTTATATTGCAGAAAAAGATAACAGAAACGATGAGAAAATAATAAATATATCTCATATTGATACTATCTTTACAATTTAATGAATTATTTACTCTATAAATATTTTTCATGTATTAATATTGCAAATATTTGCAAATTATATATTGATATTGCAGAAAAAGATAATAAAGAAACGATGACAAAATAATAGATATATCTCATATTAATAGTTTCCTTAAGATTTAATGAATTATTTGCTTTATAAATATTTATCATAATTATGAAACTGAGCGTTTCCTGCATTCTCAGTAATGGTTAAAAAGATAGAATAGAAAAAGGGCCGGTTTTTCAATAGCAGTTTAAACTTGGCTTCAAATTTAAACTCTATCCTAACAATGCGTTTGTTTTGTTTAAACAGTTTTGTTTAAGTTGAAATCTAAGTTTAAATTGTCATTGAAAAACCGGCTCTAAATGTCTCACTGTTAGAAAATCATAGAAGAGTAAAATTAACAGCGGAAAAGAGTATCTAATGTATGAAAGACGAGACAAAAGACGCGTCTGCGTAACCTTGCATCTCGCAACCGCGCGGAAAAATCGATTCCGACTTTATTTTACGTACCGAGTGGCCCTGAATGTCATCCGCATCGAGAAATCGAATGTACATGTGTGCTATATATGGCCTTCCCGGGCATAAATCTCGCAGGACGCGCGCTTAATTGTACAATTGTAGTAAATCAAGCGATCAGCGGGAAACCGTAATTATCCGAGCGCAGACAATGATAAATCATTTAGTAAGAACGTGGAACACTATAAAATGTAATAGCGCTAGTAACACGGCTGCTACAGCGAAGTATACAACATCCGTGTTTGCGTATCATTAAACTCGGCGAAGATGCAACTTACAAAAAGAGCAACTATATTACATTGTGTTGTACATGCAAAAAGATTACTACATGCCTCATTTCTGTACGAAGAGAATGTTACGTAAGTTATTTCTATGATACGATGTAGGTGTGCTTCTACTATACAAATTATATATCTTCTTATATAATTTGTGGCATTAAAATGATCAAATATTTATCCCTATAAATTAACATAATCTCGGTAGTTGAAACATCATGAAATAATATAGATTTCTTTTTTAGATTAACTTGAAAAAGTCATTGGAAGTTATTCACCTAACAAGAATGAGAATAGTACATGAGATTTGAATAAGATTTCCTAAACTAGATCTGTATCGAAACTAGATCTGTATCAACTTGTATGTCGACCAAATATATTCAAAAGAGCAAGACAAGTCAGCTGTACGAGGACATATCGCCAAGTGCCACAAGTAATAATCAAAGCAAATGTCAAATGAATAACCGTTCAAATTTACTGGTACGTCAGTCTCTAATTTCTCAACAAGCAAAGTCGGAATTTCTATTGGTAATAATAACAACTTGCATCATTACTCCACTCCTCTCTACTCCACTACTCTACACTCCATCTTGAATAAAATATTGCTGAAGTTCTTATTATTAAACTCCAACCACGCTTTCAAGTCTCTTCATCATTGAAGTCTAATTCCACTAACTTCCGCACGAAAATACACTTGTAACAGATACGAATATATACATAAGGTAGCATTAGGCATACATATATGTTATTTTTAAACATCAATGCTCTACTGATAGAAAAATCACCATTATTCTAGGATATCACCGCGCGCCATCGTCAGGCGTTCATCCTAACTACTACCGTGCTCTCAGCTGTGCGTAGCTACGTATAAGTGTATCTATGAGAATGCGTGTGTAAACGCACACCACATTCTTCGGTCGTTATGTCGAGGCGGGGATGTAGACGTGAATTGCGCTCGATATTCGTTCGAACGAGTAGCTGATAGCGACACGGCCAAAGAGTGGCGATGTGGCAGAAGAGCGGTCTAGCAATATTCACAATACTAACCTGTGACAGCGTAGCGAGCTATAATTGAGCCGCAGTCGCATCGCCGGACAAATAGATCACGTGGTCACGGTGCACGCATGTTCACAACTCCAGACAGACAGAGAGAGAGACGCGGATTCCATAATGCTTTTTTTTACGCATGCGCATTATCAAGTAACGTTCATTCACCCACACGCGAGCTGACAAATAGGTTAATCGCACGAAACGAGGTAGTGTCTTGACCGCACGGCGCGAGTCGCGTCGCCAGCGTAAAACCAGACGAGATTTGGTAAACTCCGATCGGACCGGCTGTGTGTCGCGGCTCGAACTGTTCACAGTTAGTCCCTGAAGTTCCTCCTCTTCCTACCTGTCCTCGCGTGCACATATACAGAGAATACTAAACGACAGACGCGTATACACGACGCGTGTGACGAGGCCGAGTCACGTGCTGATTACGCTCTAAAATTCGTACGTTCTTTTCACCACAAAGAGGCAATTTCGACCGTCGTCGATGTTCATAATGTATACGCCAAGGAACGGTTTCATCCAGTTTTACTGGTCTATCCGTCACTGATCCATGAGTCAGACATGTGCGATTGTCAAACTGCAACGAATTTTAAACTGGATTTAAAGAGACTCAAAATTAGACTCAAAACTGGAAATTTAAAGTGCGTTTTTTTTTTTTTTTATTAAATTTGTAGAATTATATTTAGACGAACAAAGCTCGCTGCACATGCGACACACTTATATTAAGCCTTTATACTTCACGTTTAATATTTGGCAGCTGTTTTAAGTTACACCCGAGAAACGACGTCGGTTCGAACGTCTGTCTGACTGCGTAGCAGACGACATAATCGGAAGGCATGGAAACGCGCGATTTCGCTGGCGCTGTCGTCGTCGCTCGCTACCCTCGTCACTTTCGTTGCCGTCAAAGGTGTTTGCTACCGTAGGTGGTGCGGCCGTTTCGGTCCTAAGTAAAGGCAACGCCGTCTGAAGATCCAGAAGCGAGAGGAAGAGCCGGAATAAAGTGGGGGGTTTATGGGTTTGCATCCTATGTACTCCATCGTATCTCTAGTTATGGCTCCACGACAAAACCCACGTGTATAACCTCGTGACGTTACTTCGTATATCTAGTCCGTATCTATATATATATATATATATATATATATATATATATATATATATATATATATATATATATATATATATATATATATA